TCCATGTTAGGTTTTAGATGGGCAGCTGGGAAGGAGAGGGGGGTGGGGGTAGTAAAAACACAACTCAAACCTTTGCTGCCCATACCTAATACACTTCCTACCCTAGGGTGGCAAAGCACACACTCGCCATACTGTATCTATGGAGAATCAGTGTTGTCACCCTAGGACAGCACTACAATTAACCTCCCCCACCCCTTCATAAGATAGAGGGGAGGGGTTTTTTTCATTCTCAGAGGTAGCATGGAACAATGTATCTGATTAAGGTTTTGACTGAAACTGTCAGGTATTTAAGGGGAACCTGACAGTCATGTTTCACTTTAAAGTTATGCTTAAAGTAGAACTATGAGGTGAGTGCTTTTCACTCACCTCATAGTTCTAGCCGACCTGTGACAATGAGACTGTCACAGGTCGGCTCAGTAGATCGGGAGGTGAGCGAACACATACCGGGTTCGCTCGCCTCTCGATCCTGTCACGGCTCTCTGCCGTGACAGGGGGAGGGGCTGGATTCCCCTCTCCCCGCTCCGATCTGCCAGCGCTGACTGGCGGAACGGACGGGGGAGGGGGCGGGTACAGCTGGCTCTGCCTCTAGATAGGCAGAGCCAGCTGTCACTCACGCAGCTGGGCGGATCCCGTCATCTAAGTCGGCATCCGCTCCAGGTGCGGCGTCTCAGTATACCGCGAGCTGTAGCTCGCGGTATACTGAGCTTAGGGTAACGGGAGGACGCTAGTTTGTGTCCTCCCGTTACCCTAAGGAGAACTATGGGGAAAAACACTGACCCCATAGTTCTCCTTTAAACAAAGGCACTAATGTCACCTTTGTTAGCCAGAAAACCCTCTCTTTTTGCACACATCTGATACTGGTTTAATTTACTTTTTTCTAAGGGTGCCACTTCCCTAACCTTAGACCCACCTACCAACTCAACACCCCCCTGCCCGGTAACAGTGAACTTACTGGCCACTGAGGTGCTCTCATTTGACAAGGGGACAGTCTGGCTCTTCTGGTCTTCTTAAAGATTGGCAAGTTATGCCCTTGGTAGCAAGTCAGCCCCTGGAGTCCATCCCTCTGTGTAGTGAAAGCACCTCAGTAGTTATAAGGGGAAAATGATTTTTGGCAAACAAAAGTAATATGGGGCATTTTGCTGTGCCTAATGTTTAGATTGGCTGATGGGAGCTTTTCAAGCACCTTTTACCTGAACTATTACAGTAATTAAATATAATATTTGACAAAAAGGGAGATATGCATATAGTAAGTTTACCCTCTTTTGATTCCTTCACCTAGACTGGGCTGTTACTTGAGAAACTTTAAAGGGTATTTCCAATTTTGCCATTGAATTTGAAAAACCCCTCTATATGTTTGTTATGTGTTCCTGTTCACAAAGCATACTGAAAAATATATTTTTAAAAATGTTCTTACCTTTTTAGATGTTTTGTTAAATCAGACAAGATGACTGATTCAAGGTTTTTCTTAGCCCTTTCACAGTGGTCTGTCCTAATAGAAAGACTTGGGACTGAAATTTGAGGATTGTGTTTTATCTGATAAGCTTCATTAACATACAATAGACAGGCCACCTCAGAACCCTCACACCTCCTCATAACATTTCAAAGAAATAGAAGCAAGAAGAAATTCTAACCCTTAAATCTCTTACCCATGTAAAAACAATTAAACCGGCAAGAAGCATTGTTTTTTTTAAATGCTATGTGAATAGCAACATGTAACAAATATAAAATAGGTGTTATCCAAATTTGGCTACAAAAATGGTAATATACTTTAGGATAGCTTGCAGGCTCACGTTAAAGAAGATTGTTTACCTTTCCTTAGCATTCATCCATTCTCTTTTAGGTTGAATGCCAAAGGTTCCTGCAAGATTCCAATATTCATGTCATCAGTGTCCCCCCTACAACCCCCTTCCTAAGCTCAGAACATATTTATGTGGCTGGTGTATGGTTAGTTTGAGAGTTGGATTATTCAGACACCTTCCTGATAATACTTCTGATCTCCTTCCAGCAGACAGAAGGTGCACACAGTTTGATAGACCAATGTTTTTAGTATATTTCATCCCAGTTGACAGTGAAGGTCCCAGACAGAAATATGGTCAGTTCCAAGAATAAAGATGATAATATCTTGACCCTGAAAAAAGAACTCTGGTCTGTTTTTTTTTTTCTTTGTATTTTCTGTTGAAATTCAGAGAGCAGACCTGTGGGAGGGGCCTAGTAGGCACACCCACTAAAGGCTGTCTGCAGAAAACTAAAGGAGGGGGTGATCAGTCACCCTGCACAAGGAGAGAGAGCAGCAGTGGCCAGTCTTTATTACAGAAAGCTGCTGCAAAGAGGTATAGTTTCACACTGGATTACTGCACAGATCTAGAAGAAATACACAAAGTATAAAAAGACTCAAGTAAGAATACATAGGCCTTGTATTCAGTCAATAACTGTTTATACCAGAGTTCAGCTTTAATTTTTAACAATTATTGCTTTCTCTCCTTTCCTGACAGTGGTAGGAAGCTATTATGCAGCCCAATTTTCAACAGTGGCAAAATATGTCAGAGCTCACCCTTCCACTTCTTCATAATGAGCTGCAGCAGAGGTTGTACAGAGCAGAATGGGGGCAGCTCTTAAAAGAGAACTATAGGGTAAGTATTTTTCCCCATAGTTCTCTTTAAAGACACGGGAGAACATATACTAATCTCCTCCCATAACCCAAAGCTCAGTATATCGCGGGCTATTGCCCGCGATATACTGAGAGCGCCGCAGCCGGGACGGGTCCTGACAGTACTGTCTGGATCCACCCAGCTGCATGAGGGACAGCAGGCTCTGCCTATCTAGAGCTAGCTGTGCCCGCCCCCTCCCCTGTCTGTTCCTCCACTCAGCGTTGGAGGATCGGAGAGGGGAGGGGGGGAATCCCTGCGGGGATCGGTGACTGTTAGTCACCACTCTCTGCAGGGAGATGATCGGAAAGTGGGCAAGCTCACGTTCCAATAAATAGAGCCGACCTGTGACAGCTTCTTTGTCAAAGGTCAGCTCTAACTAAGAGGATGAGTGGAAATCAATCAATCACCTCATATTTCTCCTTTAACCTCCCTGGCGGTAATCCCGAGTCTGGCTCCGGGTGAATTTTCAATGCTAGGAGCGGTAACCCCGAGCCAGACTCAGGGCTGCACAGAAAAGTGACACTCACCTTGTCAGAGGGGTGCAGATCTATATTTTTCTGATTCAGACTTGCTCATTCTACAGCATTCTAAATTAAACACTGATTTTGAATCCCTGCACACAATCTGATGATTATTAGCATGGTTTTCCCATAAATAGTGTTTTCTTAACAGAGGGGTTGTTCTATGGGTTTAATGGCCCAGTTCTCTTTAAAGTAGCTAATTCTCATAACACTGGGCCCAATAAACTATGATTGGTGGTTGCAGAGGAATGTGAGGTGTCGCACGGCACATCTGATTGTGGGGCATTGCACTTCACAAAAGCTATTAGGTCCCAGCGCGCATGCTTTATTAGCCATCATTCTCTTGGTGCAATGCTGTACACCTCCATTGCAATAAATATTGAATTTTTTGGGACCTTAATCACATCTTTCCTTACAAACCCTTCAAATTGAACTATTGTTTGAGGCATCCAAAAATGCTGTTTTGGGTGTGCCATATACACTGCCTGACCAAATTGGAAAGTCACTCTAATATTCTGCTGGATTGCCTTTACCTTTGACACACATTCGACATTGCATTGTTTTGATAAGCTTATGCAATGTCGCAACATTTATTTCTGTCCACAGTTGCATTCATTTTTCGCCAGGATCTTGTAGCGATAATGGGAGAGTCGGATCACTGTGTAAAGTTTGATCCAACACATCCCAAAGATTCTCAGTGGGGTTAAGATCTGGACTCTGTGGTGGCCAATCCATGTGTGAAAATTATGTCTCATTCTCCCGGAACCACCCTTTAACAATTTGAACTCGATGAATCCTGGCATTGTTATCTTGGAATATGCCTGTGCTGTCAGGGAAGAAAAACTTTATTGATGGAAAAATCTGGTCATTCAGTATATTCAGGTAGGCAGCTGACCTCATTTTGGGCCACATAACATTGATGAGACTAATTAGAAGGCTCTGACCTATTTGCTTAGCTAAATCCAGATGGTGACTTTTTTTGGCCAGGCAATGTATTTGGGGCACTGACAATAGTTTATCTGGTCCACACTGTTTAGTTTGTACAATAAACTCTTCTTTTTAACATTATTCACTTTTTTTCCTTGTGGGTTGGAAGTGCTGGTAATGGGTAGGAGGACCCTGTCTGTGATGTGCAGACGGACAGTGAAACTACATATTACATTGTCAATCTGGACTGCTCCTTATGCTGTCTGGTGGGATGTACTGTCACCCTGCGGAGCATGTGCAGGTCATAGTTGGTGACTACTGGTAGACATCCCAGAGGAGCATTGATCTGATGCCGGAGCGGAGACTATGCTAAAATAAATAAATGGCCATGTTAAAGCGTTGGCCATGACAGATATGCTGTGAAGACCAGAAGACCATCATGGCAGAAGCAGTTTTGTTGTTTTTTTATTGTTCATGGTTTACTAATGCGAACATGCTGCTTAACATTTTGAATGAATAATCTTGTCTGGAGTTATAATTTATTGCAATGTAGTGTAGTACTTTTGGCACATTTATATCTCCTGTCAACAGTACATTAAGCTGGAGTACTCTCTTAAGTGCTACGGTTACACAACTGCATTAGTAAGCAGATGTCCGCATAAACAGAATTAACCCAGTAGAAAGTTACCGATCGTTCCAGGTTACAGGAGTGCCCTGATATTTACACTACAAAAACTTCACACTATATTCTAAACATTTACATTATAAACTAAATACACAGACTGCTGGAATGGTAGAGTTTTGTGATTTAACGAAGTGTGGGGATAGTTCTGTCAATAGAAAGGTTGCAGAGCCTGTTTTTATTATCATACATTGATCGCTCGGCTTCCCTGTTTATTCTCAGCTGCAGGAAACCCTGATGAGTCGAGAGCGGGATCTGGACACCCTCAAGTTGGATGTAGAACTGCTGGAACAAGCCACACAGGCCAGGATCGCTGAGAAAACTGCAGGTAACACAAAGCCTTTACGTGGACGAGACATGCGGCTGCACAAGTGACGTGGCTCACTTAATGCAAGCTTTATTTGCTCAGGGAGGAGAAGGAATGACTTTTCTTTCCTGAACTTTTTGTTTGGCGGTTTGGAAGTGCTTGGATGGCTCTGCGCTGAAGATCCTGGTACTGGTATTAGTGAGGACTCTACCTTCATTCAAACTGATTTGGGCATTAAGCGTCTTGTTAGCACCATGTCAATCCAATCACAAAGAGCTTGTTTGTTTAGCTGGTAGGTCTTGAACAAACAGAGCAGCATAGAGGAGGGAGAACGAAGAAATAGCAGCTTGTATTGTGCACCAAGGATCTTTCACATTGCATTCTGACTCCGTCCGACTAGGGTGACACTCAAGTCAGAAAAAAAATAATGTTCGCTGTCTCCCTGGAAATTCTTTATCTGTGTAGGCAGTGCTTGGCTCTGTTAATGTCCCTACAGCTATATGCCTTCTCTACTTTCCCGTTCTCTGATCTTGCAGTTATTTATTTAAGTGTCTCAATGCTTCATCTTGATACACAAGTGAACTCTTCTTGACCTTTTTGTGTTGTCTTAACACCTGTCCCACCTAATGACATTGTGTGTTATATAAAACTATCATCGCCGCAGATAGGAGATTGCTTCAATCATCCCTGATCTACCTGTTCTTTCTAATATAAACAGCCAGCACAGACACTCCCACTGTCAGCTGGGTGTGAAATGTCAGCTGATGTGCCAGACATGGTAGGAATGTAATATAAAGGATGGTTTTAGGTAATTACACACATAATTGATAGGCCTGTTTTTAAAAAAAAGCTATACAATAATTTTTTGTAAACATTCCTCTTTTACGGCAATGGCAGCCAGAGAGAGCTGTTAATTTGCTTATATGGCTGTAAATGACGTGTTACAGGTTAATTTGAATTGAGCCTAAGGTGTCCTATAGTTGGCCATTTATAAAGCTACAACACGTCCATACCTGGGCCATACTGATCCTTTTCAAAGGACAAATGTCTTCTGGCATGTTTATAATGCACACGGTATGCTTTACAAATGTGTCTTCCACTTTGCTTGCTTTGTGACTCTGAAACCCCATTTATTTTTATTGAATAGGATTAAAAAAGTGCCAGAAGGAGCACATTACTTTGACAGGCGTGCCTTCTGTCACAGAGTGTTCTGTGCAGGACTTGTGCTCCGTGCTCAATGTAGAGCTGTAGTTGTGAGCTGGAAGTGTATCAGACCGCTGAAAATAGACCGCAGCTCTTGCACAGTGCGTAGTTCCCTAGTGTGCTGCCTGGGAAGAGGAGTTTAGGGGGTAACTGGAGGCATTGGAAGACTTTTGTATGCACTTCAGCTCATTGAATGTTTAAAAAAATAAAGGAAGCTACAATTGGGCTTTAAAGTTGGGTTATGGTTTCAGAGAGTTAGGCTACATTTTAAGGCAAGGTAGTGTGATAAGGGCCCATTGCTTCTACTTGTAGCAGTCTTCAAAACCCTGCCTTTACAGACAAATCTCGGGCTGTTCTGACTGTAACATTTTGCAATTCTCAAATGTGCCAAAGCTTGCCCACCCTTACTTTCACCTGTACATTTCTATTGGTCAGTAAGGCAGCCCACCATAGTGATGGGCCAAGAAAAATGTTTTGGGAGGACAGTAGCTAGCAACGCCCTCCAACATTACCTGGAAGTGTTAGAACTTTGCCTGTCAGAACAGCCTGGGATTCCATTTCTTCAATACAAACTCGAATATTCCCATATTGTGCTTTCTGTTCGGCAAATGCTCCTGGAACTGCAAATTGTATATGGTATCCTGCCTGTTACGAATTACCAAATCTAGCATGCTTTCCATCTAGTTGGTTCAGTTACCACTTGTATAAAATAATTGGCTATGTCTGTTTCTAGAAACTCTAGCTTCATTGCCCTACCAATGTCTTTTATGTTGAAATCACGTTGCTGTTATCTGTTTTTTTCCAACTGTAGCAATAACTAGAGCAATGTCATTGTCATTCAAAATCATTATAGTTATTAATACAACTAGAGGTGCACTGAAATTAACATTTCAAAACCGAAATAAAAAAAAGTCAGGCCAAAACCGAATTTTTTTTTATTTTAACTTTTTCAAATTATTTTATTTTTATTTATCTTTTATAAATGTTTGTTTTTTATATTTAATTTTTATTTATACATTTTTATTTTTTACTTTACTTTTACTTATTAAATGTTTATTGTGATTTTTCCAAAGCATAAACAATACAAAGACAGTGGTGGTTTACATCAAGACAAGCGGTGTAAGCTCAAGACTTAATAATAAACGACATGTGTCACTCATTGTAAATATAAAGAAATAATCATAAGCCTTCACCAGACGCACATGGTACGAACATTGACAAGGGAGGACGGGGGGCGGGTGAGGAGGGGTGGTTCGGGTGTGGTTTTGCCAGGATCCGCTATAAGAGCATACATCTCACGATGGGTGTTACCGGGTAAGTATGTGTAGTTAGTCAGGTGGTACATTTGGTGCCGTTGGGGATGTTACCAGCAGAGAGGCATATCTGTCAGTTGTTTTGAAGTGTAGCCAGCATGCCCAGGTAGCATAGAAGGTGGTATATGTATCTGTGCTGGAGTGATGGAGTTCCTCCATCAACCTTAGTCTATCTACTCGGGCTAACCATTCTGCAATGGTGGGCATCTGTGGGGATCGCCAATATTTGGGTATGAGCGCCTTGGCTGCATTCAGCAGGTAAGGAGCTAACAATTTCTTGTATGATTTTGTGGACATTGGGGTAAGGTGGAAGAGGCATTGCCAAGGATAAAAGGACCGCACCCGGGGGACACAGGAGGGGAGAGGCACATAGGGAGGGAGGGAGGGAGACAACACTTAGAAGGGGAACATGAAAATGCAGAACAATGCACATCAAAACAGTATAGTGCGTGCCAAATACAGCACAAGGGCCATATCCCAAGAACCTTCCGGTGTCTTGGGAGCGGCCACCTAGTGGGGGGTGATGGGCAGGGCTCCAGCAACGTAACCATGATGGTCATGTCGGTAGTCAGAGAGCGCCTGTCTTAAGCCCCCGAGCAATCAAAGAAAGGCATATAAACGTATAACCGTATAACTGTGTTACCCAATAAGAACCTAGGGTGAACGAAGGATTGTAGGTATGGCCGTCCCAGTAGAGCCATATAGATGAGGAGAGAAAAATATAAAACATAGAACGTAAAATGAAGGAGAAGAAAATCAAAACGAGTGTTTTGCCATTGCATCGGGGGTAAGGGAGCCCAGGCGGGGGACGAATCTGACCAACCCGGCAGCTCGGGGGGGGGGAATTTTCTACCCGCTCACAAATTTTCTGTGGGCCCTCGGGGAAACGAAGGAACGCTGGGCGTCCCCCCTTTGATCCGATCAGGCAGGCTGGAAAGCCCCAGCGGTATGTGATGTCATTGGCCCATTAGCAGCTGTAGGAGCGGTTTTAGTTCTCGTCTCCTGGATAGGGTTTCAAATGCAAGGTCTGGGAAAATGCGGAGTTTAGCCCCATCAAAGTCAACCTCGGCGGTACCTCTAAGGCGGTCCATAATCAGGGCCTTATCTGAGAAGTAATGGAGGCGGACTATGACATCCCGAGGGGCCTCTCCCATTCCGGAGCGCGGTCTCAGGGCCCTGTGAGCACGGTCGAACATCAAAGTGGAGGTGGGAGCTCTCCCCAGTATGGTGTTAAAAATGCCACGCAGCGTATCAGCGAGGTCCCCATCTTGGGTGGCCTCAGGGAGGCCCCTGAGCCGCAGGTTGTTACGACGGCTTCTGTTCTCCTGGTCCTCCAGCTTGTAAAACGCTGATCGTATAGCAGTATGGGTTTGCTCACCGTGTGTCTGAAGTTCTTTGATGGCCTGGGCCTGTGCGTCCAATCGGCTCTCCACCTCTTCCACTCGCCGCATGGCATGGGACACTTCGGCCTTCACAGATGAGATCTCAGACTTGAGGGAGCGCTCAAGGCGGGAAAAAATCTCCGTCCGGTCCAATTTGCTGGGGAGAGTTTTAGCCAGCGTGGCTACAGACATCCCGGAGCCCCGGTCGGAATCTGTAGATGCCGCAGATAGAGCGGAGGAGTGGGATCCGTCCGATGGGTGTGAGGTGGAGGGTGGCATCTCCGGGATGGCCCCTGGGCCTTCAGGCGCACGCCTCGCCCCGGCGGCCGGGGAGAAGGCTTCCGGCGTCCAAAGGCGCGTGATGGTGCCGGTTTTCTGGGTCGCAGCGGACCGGCTGTACTTCTGTGTTCTCCCCATGCTTTAGGGATGAGATGGCTGATCGAGGTGCACTTCGAGAAGATGGGTAACTGCAAGATTGCTCGGGGTGAGAGACGGAGCTCTGGCTAGGCACGTCTACTCGCCGCCATGCGCAAACCACGCCCCTTTACATTACATTACTTTTAGGAGCTTGAGGGACATATTTTTCTGCAACCCCTGTTATAAATAAACAGGAATCCTCTATACTGAGTGTTCCTGTTCATTCATAACATGAGGACCTAGTGTGTTTACCATATCCACAATCATGAATGAACAGGAGGTGATGTAGATCACTTCCTATTCATTCATAATTGAGGATATAGTAAACATACCATGTCCTCAATTATCTACAAACACTCAGCGATCACTGATCGCTGAGTGTTTTTACTCGTCTCCTTCCTGAGACGCTGTCACCGTAGGCTGAGCGAGCGGAGCTAAGCCTGCTGTGAAAGTGCTGGCTGTCTTCGCCCACACTGCTCTCCTGATCTGTGACAGGAGGCTGAAGGGTGGGGGGAGGAGAGACGCCGGCCTCTCACAGCGCTCTCCTCCCGCAGCGCTCGGCCGCCTGTGACAGTTTCTCTCCTCCCTGCTGGGACACAGAGCAGCGCCCGGCAGGGAGGAGAGAAAGCAGGGATGCACTGCTATATCGGCCAGAAAATGGCACTTTCAGCATTTTGCCAAAAGTGCTATTTTTGGACAATATATC